ACTCACTATTTAGTGAACTATGTTGGGAGAACTCATTATGTGGAGGAAAGTGAACTGGATTCCCTACTTTCCATTCACCTACAAAAAGCCATTGAAGACCTGATTGTAAAAGGTAAAACCATAAATAGAAGGAAAGATAGAAGAATATCTCTGTGACCTACAGGTGGAGAGAGACTTTTTAAACAAAGTCTTGAAAACTGCAAACCATGTAATAAAAAGATAATATCTTGGATGTCAACCACATGAAATTTCTGTTCAACAAACACCAATCTTATGAAATTAGTAGAATGCAAGTTGAGAGGAGAGTTTGTTATGCCAGAAGCAAAAAGAGAAATAAGGTATGAAATATACAGAGGACTCTTAGAAACCGACAACAGAAGCCCAAAGCCCACCAGAAACAATGGACAACAGATGTAAATAATCAATTCATGGAAGGGGGAAACTCAAGAGGTTCCAAGTGTGTGAAAAAAGAATTACAACAGTAATAAGATAGCATTTTAAACCTCCAAAAGTTGGCAGTATCAAAGCTGGATTCAAAAATCTAAGAAAATCAAAAAAACCAAACCTAGTGCTGTCTTTTTGGAACGCAGTTTGGCAGTATCTAGTAAATGTTCGTGAACTTATCTTTAACACCCGGTGGACCTACTCCTGGGTAACTATCCTGAAGATATTCTCAAATATGTACCATTACATGACTTGGATGAGGTTACTTAGTGCGGCGGTGTCTGTTGAGTGCAGTTGGAGATGGTTTATGTGCCTACTGAAGGGGGAAAAATAAGTAAAATGTGGATACACACTATGAATGGCATGTTAGAAAAAGGACCTGCACATAACAACATGGATGGATTGCAAGACCACAGTGCTGAGTGAAAGATTAAGAAAGAGAACCATTCCTATAAAATAGAAATACCTACACATGCCCAACAACACTTTATGTTTTACAAGGATTCAGAAATGTGTATAAATACAGTAGACCAATGGCCTAAGGCAGGTGTACAGGTGGTGGTGGTATGTGGGGCAGAGGGAAGGAGGATTCGGAGGGTGAGATTTCTCTGTCTCTGTCTCTCTATCTCTCTCTCTCACACACACAGTGGGAGAGACAGAGAGAGACAGAGAGAGAGAGAGAGAGAGAAGGAAGCTTGCAGGGAACAATGCTCATGTATGTTGTACTGAGGAGTATGATGAATACACAACTTTTTTACCAGATACCTGAAATTCCATTTCTCCTGGAAAGATGTACACTTTAAAAGAATGCATTGTGTTGGAGCGCCTGGCTGGCTCAGTTGGTTAAGTCAGACATGACTCTTGGTTTTGGCTCAGGTCACGATTTCACGGTTTATGAGTTTTAGCCCTGCCTCGGGCTCTGCGTTGACAGTGTGGAGCTTGCTTGCAGTTCTCTCTCTCACCCTCTCTCTCCCCTCCTCTGCTCGTGCTGTCTCTCTCTCAAAATAAATAAGTAAACTTAAAAAAAAAAAAAAAGAATCCATTGTGGATTTCTGAGCATCAGCCAATGAATTGAGAAATAGTTTCATCGTGCAGTCAGTGAATATTTATGTGCCAGGCACTGTTCAGGTGCTAGGTGTCGTGAATGAGACAGAGAAGCCTACCTTCCGATTAGGGACTCTGGTTAGCCCTTCCCGGCATTAGACCAGGAAAATTGTTACATAAATCTAAGATGAACAATGGGTATGTCTGTTGGGGTCTGGGAACTTGATTCCAGGGTTGCTGTTTATCTAGGGTGGCTGCTGGAAGACACTTGAAAATTCACAAGGAAACAACTGAAGAGAAGACCTTTTATGATCTGAAATTATTTAGCACCCATATATCTCCAGTTGTTTTTCCACAGGAGCAGTATAATGCTGTATCCACAACCTCTCCTAAAAACAAATATTTTTGAGACTTCTTATATCACTGTTCAGAAATCCCAGAGCAGATTTTCACATTAGTGGATGTTGGTCAAGTTCACTGAAGACTAAGATCTTGGCTCCATTAACACTATCTTTTTTTAAAAAAATATTTATTTATTTATTGGGGGAAAGCACAGATGGAGGAGGGACAGAGGGTGGGGGACAGAGGATCTGAAGTGGGCTCTGTGGGCTCTGCCCTGACAGGCCGACAGCAGGGAGCCTGATGTGGGGCTCGAATTCACAAACCATGAGATCATGACCTGAGTGGAAGTCAGACGCTCAACCCACTGAGCCCTCCAGGTGCCCCAACACTATATTTTTGATATTTGTCCATCGGGACTATATAGTGAATAATAGACACGTTGCTGCTGTTAAAGACTGGTTTGCAATTTTCTGGCACTCTATTTTTGTTTCACAGCTGTTTTATTCCCTGCTCAGGAATAACAATGAAGCTGGCAAGTAGTACTGCACCAGCCCCAACTTTAGAAGTACTGTAAAGACAGTTCCAAACTACCTCCATGCGTATTCCCAAGGATATTTAGTGAATTATTTAAATTCACAGATCAGCATCTTTTTTGTCGATTTCTTTTTATGTGTCTAGGACTGTGTTAAGTATTGGAGATACAAAGATAAAAATGACTGAGACTCTTCCCTGGAAAGCATATAATTCGATGATGTCAAAATTTAGTTTCCCAGGGATCCTGGGTGGATCAGTCAGTTAAATGTCTGTCTCTTGGATTTGGCTCAGATCATGATCTCATGGTGTGTGGGTTCAAGCCCCACACTGGGCTCTGTGCTGACAGCATGGAGCCTAACTGGGATTCTCTCTCCCTCTCTCTCTCTGCCCATCCCAAGCTTGTTCACTCACTCCCTCTTGCTCTCTCTCTCAAAATAAATAAATAAACTTAAAAAAATTTATTTCCCATGAGAAATTATGTATGCTGGTCAGGTTCCCAGGCAAGCTAACAAAAGCCTATTTAATCCATAATATAGAATAAATTTAGTGCTAAAATAATTATACAGAATTTTGGACAAAAATGGCCATGTCCCATATAATAGGAAATTGGATAAAAAAGAATTTCCTCATCCTGGGCTCATGAATAACCTCAAGCAAGCATTTGGAATGGGTCTAGTTCTATTCACTCTCCTGAATCTTCCTTTTTGCATCTTTCCACTAGGGCACCCTCCCAAATGCTCAGTGTCCTCGTGCAGTTCTGCATCTGGGTCTGTGTCATTCCACCAGTGCTAAAGATTCTACAGTTATTCACTTTTCTCCTTCCAGTTCTTCAGCACTCCTGATCTTAACTGGTTCGGAGGAGAAAAATCTAAGCAAATGAATTTGGACATTCCTTCCCTTGGCATTAGACCAGTGTACATGCTCCCCATTCCCACCCCTTGGGAGGGGCTCCAGCTTAGTTTTTAGGTGTTATTTAGAATTCAATGTATTTTTAGGGGCTCCCGGGTGGCTCAGTTGGTTAAGCCTCCAACTCTTGATTTTGGCTTAGGTCATGATCTCACGGTTGGTGAGTTCGAGTTCCAAATTGGGCTTTGTGCTGATGGTATGGAGCCTGCTTGGTATTCTGTCTCTCCTTCTCTTTGCCCCTTTTCTGCTTGTGCTCTCTCTCTCTCTCTCTCTCAAAATAAATAAATAAACTTAAAAAAACTATCTTAAAAAAAAGAATTCAATGAATTTTTAATGGTTCAAAGTCAACATATAATCACTCTATTGCCATATTCTCTTCCTTATACATCCATACACATAATAAAAATTGTTATAAGGTTTTTGGAGGGGAGCCTGGGTGGTTCAATGGTTGAGCATCCTACTTTAGCTCAGGTCATGATCTCATGGTTCATGGGTTTGAGCCCTGCATCAGGTTCTGTGCTGATAGCTTAGAGCCTGGAGCCTGCTTCAGATTCTGTGTCTCCCTCTCTATCTGCCACCCCCCCCCAAGTGCTTTCTCTATAAAAGATAAATAAACATTAAAATAATAAAAAATAAATATTTTCGGAAATATATTTTGAGATTTAACTTGTGTGTTGTTAGAATGAGCATACATAAAATTTCAAGATAAACTACTATAGCCAATGTACTCTTAAAATACTTGCATGTTAAGAAAGATGGCGATTAGATTGTTTAGCATTAATGTCTCCAAATTTAAATTGATGTTGATTATAATTTAATGAAAAAATTTGTTACATGATCTCTACACCCAACATGGGGGTTGAACTCATGACCCCAAGATCAAAAGTCACATGTTCCACTAACTGAGTCAGCCAGGCGCCCCTCAGTAAAAAATTTTAAGATATATTTGCACCCACCATAATTGTTAAGATTTTAAAAGTCACAGAATGGGAGGAAAACAATGCTTAGATTAGCCAACACTATTATTTTAAAAAATTTAAGTCTTCCTCGAGATTCAGCATATTGAAAAAAGGAGATAAAATTATTTTTAAAAATGGGATTATCTTCAAGCTATCATTATTCTTTATTTTAAAGCAGAGGATATAGGACACGGGTCCTTTATTTCTGATCACCTGTAGTGAGATAAGAATCTATGAAGCTAGTAGGAAAATGAGTCCACGACCAAAATGTTTACTCAGCTACTACAAAAGATCAAAAACTAGTATGCTGAATCCGGAATCTACGAAGACAAAGCAATTGTTTTCTTTGAAAAATAAGTGGGGTTTAGAAAATTTCTGGGATTTATCTGTAAAAACACCTTCTGGGCCCTAATAGTGACGTTTTAGGGAAACACATTTCGGGGTGGGAAAAATAGGAGGTAGCATTTTGTGGGCTCCTGTGGTGGTTAGGTAGTTCTCAGAAGACTGTACTGGAAAATAGATAATTGCTGATGTCATATTTTTTACAAAAAAAAAAAAAACCGTTCTGGGGGCTATAAAAGCAGTAGCTTTTCCCTTCCCCTCACAAGCAGAATCGTTGAAACAGGTAAGTGTTTCAGCAAACTTGGTATGATGGGTTCGTTTAATATGATACTTCTTGATACCTAATTGTTTTCCCTTATAATCTTGCTTCTTATTCTCTCCATACAGGTTCTCATTTTCTAGTCGCCATTTAAGTTAGAGGTGTCTGCGATGGCCTCCCTGCAGAAATCTGTGAGCTCTTCCCTTATGGCATCTCTGGCCGCTAGCTGCCTCCTTCTCATTGCCCTGTGGGCACAGGGAGGAGCGGCTGTGCCCATCAGTTCACACTGCAGGCTTGACAAGTCCAACTTCCAGCAGCCCTATATCACCAACCGCACCTTCATGTTGGCTAAGGAGGTACTCAGACTTTCTCTTTCATATCTATCTACTTGGAACCTGATAGTTCCTAAAATTTTCTCCAGAACACTACTCAAATCTTTAAGAACCCATCATCTATCCTCGCTGGCAGACCAGAGATTATTTTCTATGTCTCTTTAGAGACATTTTGGAGATTGGGCTTTCCCAGAAGACCTTCCATTTTAGCCTTGAGGATACGCATGTTGAGTTTTACTCCAAAAAAATCCGTTTATTAGCCCACCTGACTTTTGTTTTTCCCTTTACTCTTCTGTGCACACTTTTAAACTCATGCACACTTCTGAGTTCTTTCGTTAGTTTTCATGGGGCTTCTCTGGGAAGAGTGGATAGAATGCATCTATACTCACGGATTTTTCTCCTATCTCCCCGATGTCCAGGCACTTAGTCTTTTCTTCTTTTCCAGGCCAGTTTGGCAGATAACAACACAGATGTTCGTCTCATTGGAGAGAAACTGTTCCAGGAAGTCAATGTAAGCCATAGTCATGATGAGCAGGGCAATGTGTCGTCCATAGATGTTTGGGTGGTGATGATGGTTTGGATCTTCTGGATGCCCTCTAACATGACCCTTGCTGTTTCACTTTTGCCTGCAGATGGGAGAGCGCTGCTATCTGATGAAGCAGGTGCTGAACTTTACCCTTGAAGAAGTGCTGTTCCCCCAATCTGATAGATTCCAGCCCTATATGCAGGAGGTGGTTCCCTTCCTGGCCAGGCTCAGCAACAAACTAAGCCAATGTGTGAGTTCTTCTCCTAGCCCAACCCCACCCACTCCTAGCCTTCCCCCCTGCCCCAACTTCCCTTTAGAACCCTTCCATGCCCACCCTCACTGCCCCTCCCCATGCTGGCAGCAGGAGGTGCCTCAGCAACACCATTACAGGAGTAATTTGGAGTCAGAGTGTTTTTGCTTTAATTGAGTCACGTTTGGAACTTATGGTGATGAAGGGGGTCTGGAAGACAAGAGCACAGAGGGCTCTTTTGTTCCCCTGGGAAAAAGCAACTTCAGTTATGTGAGAAGAGAAAGGTGTCGGGAGCTGTAGAGAAAAATACCTACATGTGGAAATGGATCCTCTGAGTATAGATGGAAGGGATGGGAAAGAGAAAGGGTAACGAGAAGATTTAATGTTCGTTGCTGGGTGGGCAAACACGGTTGCCCTTTGGATGCCGCAAGAAGTGACAAAGTCGGAGGTGTGTGACCTTGATGACTCTGAACATTTAAAATTTTGAAAAAAGATGGAGTGGACTGGGTGAAGTGAAGGATCCTAGTGTTGATTAAGGAGGGCCCTCTGTTCACCCAAGACATATTTTATGTTCGTTTCTTGTTCTGAGAATGCATTTTTCATGAGGTAGAGTTAGGGTTTCATTCTTCAAAGAATTTGCATAAACCACTCCACTTTTGCCACACACTGAAACCTCAGTAGGATTTCCCAAAGGTGAAGAGAGGTGCCATGTTAGGGAAATGACTGGATTTTGGTGTCCAAGGGAATTCAAGAGCTCTGAAAATCTAGGTCACTGGTGAAATCTAGGTCATTGTGGGTAAAATTGCTAAGAACTTTAATTCCAGGTGTATTATAACGCATCTCAGTTAGGGACACTGAAGTTCATAAAGCTTCAGTACAACAGTGTTAAAATAAGTGCTTTGGTTTTCATTTTGTAGCATATTGGCAGTGATGACCAGCATATCCAGAGAAATGTGCAAAATCTGAAGGACACAGTGAAAAAGGTACTACTAATAACTATCAATGCTAAATCATTAAATAGGAGAGACACACGTTATTTTGTTTTCTTCCTTTTCCCCCCCTATGTATAATTTTTTACTCGATTTGCCTACCATTGGGTTGATTATTTAGGTGTATATAATTAGATGCATCTGTATATTTATAAATAAACTTCCTAATTTTGCAAATGATAGAATCCTGGAACTGGCTGGGAAATTAGGTCCTCTAATCTCGTCACTCTATGTTCTGGGCGTGGCCAGTAGCAGAGCCAGGGATACTACGCAGATCTCCTGAATTCCATGCAACACTATTTTGAGCAGCAATTTGTGTTAGTTTTAGTATTATTAATTCTTCGGGAAATTTGAGATTCCCACTAATTCATGTAATCTGAATAGGCACCTGTTCAGAAGCCAGAAAAGCATCTGGGGGAAAATTTATTTGAGGTGATTTTTGAAGTCATTGATTTGACGGTTTAAAACTTGGAGAGATAAGCCCAGAGCAATCATAACAAAAGAGCTGGACTTATATATGGGATGAATTTCCGGAATGATTGATATTTATATTCAATTATCATAATACAATACCCAACAGCTATAGATTTTAACTTAAAAATAAGAGTGAGCAACCTCTAATTTCTTTTATACAGTTTCAAATAAAATGAAAATGTTAGTAATGGACTTATTATAGTGAATGGAAATCTGAACTGGGAATTGTCTTTTCTTCCTCTCTTCCCCTTCCTTTCTGGTCTTCTTCATCCCTCAACAAATCCCCAGTGAGCATTTATCTTATGTAGGCTACTGTATATTTGAACAGTGAATGATACTGTCACATGGCCTATTTGGGGAACAATAGTAGAAAACTCAGACAAGCAATTGTGACTCATTCAAAAGCCAGTGGAATGATTACTAGCAGCGAAAGTGATGCTTCTGTAGGCAGGTACAGTTAAACCTCAGAAGCATGAAAGCTCTAGCTGATGGAATTTTCACCAACGGGTGTAACCTAAATTTTCCTTTTTTTCCACCTTGATGTTTCTTTTAAAAAAAGTATATCTTCCTAATCATGATTTAATGAATCAACTCTTGCAATGGGGTGCCATGTAGAAGAGTGGTTATGCTTTTTTTTTTTTTTTTTTAAACCCCATAGCTCCAAAGAGCATAGGCAAGAGAGAAACATTACTCAGAGGAAGCTCAACCCCAGAGATAACTGGTCACCACTGGCTGAAATGGGAGGACAGTCTTGGAGGTGTTATGTCTCTGTCACTGCAGGTACAGCCACAGAGCAGGCTGTGGTAGAATGGATCACAGTAGGGCAAGATAACTTTAAACATTCTTTATAGTCTTGGGAGTCTTTGAGATATAATAAAAATCGCTTGGTGTTATGTCAAAGTATAGAAAGGTGGAATGATGGAAGATGGCAGAAAGAGAAAGGAGAACAAAGCAGAGAGGACAGTGATGGCTTAAGGTTTTCCTCGAAATAATCTAGAGCAAATTTAATAGATTAGATGAATTTCAGAGGAGAATGCTTTGAACTTGAATCTGGGTTCTTTCTCTTATGGAGTTTGAAAACCTCATTTACATACTGCTTGGAAGGAAGAGGAGAAAAGCGGTGTTATAATGTGTATCTGACTTTCTACTAATTAAAACAGCTGGATGGGACCTATTTGGTATTTTACCTATAAAAGTGAAAACCTGTTGTTGTTTTTCCCCTTTGTGAAGGAGGTAAGAACAGAAAAAACCCACATGTGTTGGTAGATGTATAGTTTTGGTACAAAGCTGTGTGAGCTGAGCTGTTATAATTAGGTGGCCATTAGACTGCTGTGAGGCAATGAGGCAGGGCAAAGCATAATGGGGGCCTTCGGTCCTACAGATGCCTGCACAGCTTTCATCTGCTTGCTCTGGTTAGGAAGTGGCTTTAAACAGCTTCATTAGTGTAGCTGCAACTGAGATTGATGCCTGTTGGTGCCCTTAAAGTTCAGTTAGCCATAATTTTAAGGTCTGTGGCAAATCATGTTATATTCTGCGAAAAGGGTATTGTTATTGTTTCGTTTTACAAAAGGCAAAAGCTTGGTTTTTGTCCTCAGCAACCCAACCATATTTTTCTAATTTGTTCCTCTTTAAAAAGTATGGTATGAATGCTCAAATACTCATGTGTTCTTATTTTTACAGCTTGGAGAGAACGGAGAGATCAAAGTAATTGGAGAACTGGATTTGCTGTTTATGGCCCTGAGAAATGCCTGTAATTGAACAGAGCAAAGCTGGAAAATGGATGACTAGCCCTTCTTACCCATTAGAAATAACAAGATCCTTTAAAGGTTTTTTTCACCAAAAGGAAAATGGGAAGTCAAACTTTATAATCATGGGTGGATTCTCAGTAAACCCCTGCTTATCTTAAAAAAGAGAACAATGTCACCTGTGTCCATAGGACCAGAAGATAGACCTTCCAAACTTAATGAGAATTATTGATAAAATTTTACTGTGGTTGGTGTTTTACATATAGAAATTTATTTTTTAAAACAATTGTCTATTTCCATAAAAAATATTACTTCTCATTCCTTTAGGAAGAAAACCCTTAAATAACTTCATTTCCATAATCAATACTTTATATTTATGAATTTATTTATTGTTGTAAGTACACATTTTATTTATGTCATTTTAATAATATAGATTTATTTATAGAAATATTATATGATATTGTTACTTAAGTATAAAGCTAATATTAATATTTATGACAATAATTATGGAACTATGTTTATTTGACCTCAATAAACACTTTGATGTCCTAAATCTTGTGGCTTTGTGATTGATTCGTTTCCCTTTAATATCATCATCGTCGTCGTAGTCATCAACATTATCATGTAAACATTCTCATTTGCTAAATGGGCCAAAGAGCTCATATACTTTGTTCTTGAATCTAAGCAAATTAGGTAGCTGTTAGTATTATCTCCATTTTAAAGATAAGAAAATTGATATGTTAAAAAAACATTGGTAACTTTAAGTTGTTGACCTGTATTGAGCTAGGTCTATTTGATTTCAGGGCTCTCTACTATATTGCCTGCATAGATTTATTATGTTGATACAGCATGTACGTCTGAAAGGAAAACAGTAAGATACTGAAAAGAATCCATTGGCATCATTGGCAGTTTGTGGATAAAAGATTGGGGTGATGAAGCTCTCAGAGAAATACACATAGGCCCCATTGCTATGGAGGAACTACTTTAGCCCTAGTTTGAATCTATTAAGGAAGGCATTCTCCAGTTTTTCTATAAATCAGAAAATAAAGTAAAGGGGAAATGGACTGAGTCTGGGGACTCTCCAAAATTTGCGCCATGGTTCAGAGAAGAGAGAAAGAGTAGAGCTAGTTGGATGAGTTCCATCTAGAAGAATGGACAAATGACACCAGCATTGAGGAATGTACAGTTCTCTCCATGGAAAGTGAAAGCCAGTGGTCAGGAAAGGTCAGTGTGTCTGTGGTCAACTGTTTACAGTGTTTCCTCCTCTGTAAAGTCAAGAACTCCAGGTTTATTGTCCAGGTCACTCACCAATCGTTTGCCAAGTTCTTGCAGGATTAGGTCAAGCCTGGTGGTGACTGGTGAGCACATATGTTCACTCATGGGTTCACTCATGGGTTAAGTGAGGTTAATATTTTTTTAAATATTTTTTTAAAATTATTTCTGAGAGAGAGAGACAGTGTGAACAGGGGAGGGTCAGAGAGAGAGGGAGACACAGAATCTGAAACAGGCTCCAGGCTCTGAGATAGCTGTCAGCAGAGAGCCCAACGCGGGGCTCGAACCCACGAACCGTGAGATCATGACCTGAGCCGTAGTCGGAGGCTTAACCGACTGAGCCACCCAGGTGCCCCAAGTGAGGTTAATATTTTTGGGTGTGGGCTGCAAATACTAAGAGGTACCCCAGCTAAGCTTTATAGATAATAGAATTATAGTTATTTCTGGGATAAGCTGGGGTTTAGGACTTTTTCCTCTCTTCTTCCAAATGAATCTCAGGATAATAACTTAAGCAAAATTTGGGATTTTACTTACTTTTTAAAAAAATTTTTTTTGAGAGAGAGAGAACGAGGGAAGGGCAGAGAGAGGGGTACAGAGGATATGAAGTAGGCTCTGTGATGAGAGCAGAGAGCCCAATGTGGGGCTTGAACTCATGAGCTGTGAGATATGACCTGAGCCAAAGTCTGACCCTTAACTGACTGAACCACCCAGGAGCCTGGTAGTTTACTTAGTTTTGACCAGTCTTTCAGAAATTAAACCATAAATGGAAGAATATCCTTAGAATTGGATTCATGAATGTTTCCATCTCGGGCAAGGAGTCTGAAATAGAGATATTTAAAAAATTCTGAATGCTAATGAACGTAGAGTGTAAGGTACCAGGATCTCCTTCAGTTCCCACGGGCAGCTCTGGCAAACTTTGCAACTGCACGAGATAGTCCAATTTTTTCATAGGGAGTCTTGACATAATCATTGGTACCTGCTGTAGCAATTCTTTTGGCTCAGTGGCAGTGGGCAGCATGTGGCTGGCACTATCAGCACTGCTCTTATTCTTGGCATTGGCAGAGGCCATGAAAGTTTCCTCCTTCAGTAGCAGACGGCAACACCTAGGTGTTGGGAAGATTAATCTGTTGAGGTTGTATGAGACCAAGCCCCCAGAGACACTAACCAGCATTCATCACTGATGTGAAGCCACTAGAGGGTTTTGAGTGTGGGAAAAACTCGATATGACTCATAAAGATCACTCTAGTGTTGGATCGAGACTAAATCTAACAGGGGTAAGACTAGAAGAAATGCCAGCACAATAGTTTAGGGAAGAGGTAATGATTACACTGGAGTGGATGGGAGTAGAGCCAGGGAAACTAGTGTGTGACCCTTTCTGTGACACTCGGCTTTGGTTGCCTAGGAAATAAGGGCTATGTGTAGGTCATATACACTAAGAGGAAAAGCTATGTGTTAGTTCTTCTTCTGGGTTTTTTTTTTTTTTTTTTTTAAGGCTTGTGATTTTTATTTTTATTTTTATTTTTATTTTTATTTTTTTTTTACAAATAGTTTATTGTCAAATTAGTTTCTACATAACACTCAGTGCTCATCCCCAAAGTGCCCTCCTCCATGCCCATCCCCCCCTCCCCCCCACATCCATCAGTCCTCAGTTTTGGATGGACCTTGAGGGTGTTATGCTGAGCGAAATAAGTCAGGCAGAGAAGGGTTTTTTTTTTTTTTAATGTTTTATTTATTTCTAGGAGAGAGAGAGAGAGAGACAGCGTGAGCAAGGGAGGGTCAGAGAGAGAGGGAGTGACAGACTCTGAAACAGGCTCCAGGCCCTGAGCTGGCAGTCA